TTACAGTAAAACTGAAACCTGTTCTGCCATTTTCCAAGGCAGCAGGACGTGTTGAGTAACCCATCACTTATATTACCTGTTAGCACAACTTCCTCTTAGTGTGAAGCTTACCAAACTAACAGGACAAAAAAACAAACCCAAACACATTCGACTTTAACATAAACACCAGGAAGCAGCCAAACTCGCACAAACACCAGAACGGTGTCAGATTCAGTGGAACAAAATTCAATGCTAAATATTTTAGTCTGACTTTAGTGGTCAGAATCGCTTCATTTGTATGCACATGGTATAGCAAAGAAAAAAAATGTTAGATTTTTTTTTATTTTATTTTTTATGCTCGGTTTTTTTAAGACCACCTTACATCTGCTGCATATTAGGAATCTTTTTTTTTTTTTTTATTAAAAATAAATAAACAACAACACACAAACCAAGAGAAAGGAGCCAAAAATGTAATGACATGCTGGAGTGGAATATAAAAAAATAAACAAAACACAAGGAAAGTGAAAAAGTGCATCACACCACGCAGCCTCCCATTCTATTAAATGACAAGTAAGCCGAATGTTCCACAAAAAAGTGCTCTATTAGGATAACATGATACTATGAAGTCTCTAACCACAGCAAACACCAGATAACCCAAGGATTTTCCGTTAGGTAATGCTCCGTCATCTTTTATTTGTTTATTAGCGCCAGATGTTCTGTTTCCACACAGCTCTGCCGTGTGTGTATGAGAAGGGCTAAGAGTGAGGCATGCAGAGCTAAGCTAACACTCCTGCTGGCTCAGGACTTTCTACTGTTGTTGGGATTACTGAAGACCAGTGTGGTTTTCATTTATTCGTTCATTCAGTGTGTGGGATCCAGAACGGTCAGACTGTGTGTGCGCGAGTATGCGTGTGTTTAGGCGTTCGTGTCGAGGTCAAACAGGACAGCTGGGGTAGCCCAAAGGTCACCGGTGTTGGAGCAATTCGAAATAGGAAAGTCACTCCATTCTGTTCAATACCTAACACAAAAGCACAGCAAATACAGAAACTTTTTTGACACATTTTGCAATATCTTGTACTTATTTCCACTTGTTTTCCCAGATAAAAAGAAATGAAAAGAAACTAGGACCATGTTTGACACCTAATATTTGGGAATCTAGCTTCAAATCAGAGTCTCATTATTGCCACTACACCAAATGTCTCTACCAAGAATCGGTTCATGATTCCTAGCAACAACTGCTCTCTACTTAATAGTTAATAATTACATAACTCTTTTCTTTTAAATAATTGTGAAATAACACATGAGGAAATACAGGAAAAAAAATGTAAATTCAGAAAAAAAGACGATGATCGAAACAGCGTTCCTTGAAGTGCGCTTTCCTTATGTGATGTTCTGATTACTCTGACAGAATGGCCCAAGGCAAACATACTGTTGGTAGCTGAGATAACACACTGTGGGCCAATATCAGTCAGCAGTTTCCCAGTCACCATCCTTGAACTGCTGGTCACTTCACTGGTTACACAGAGCTCCACACCTTCCTACGCAGGCCTGCCCACACACAGCCCAGTTAGTGAAGTGTGAGCTCCCCGCCAGGACTCACGTGTCCTCTCCACATTGCCACTTTATGCTTACGTAGCAGTCACTCACACGGCTCCAGCAGTTGGTCGGCCACTGGGAAATAAGGCTCTGCTGACAGATTCGAGCCGAGGAGGTGGGAGCTTTTTAAAAAGCCCACATGCTATAGATGGAAGACATAGGACTCCAATGGCTAAATTAACCTGCCTTCTCCTTGCAAGCACTTTGCTAAACATCTGAATGGATCACTACCCCTACAGTTGGAGAAGTCAAGCAGCACAGCTAATATTCAGACATCTATTTTTCTCACCGTCAGCGCTTGTTCTAAAACTGCAAGCCCTATTTGAAGTCATCCAGAAACAGACCTTGAAGGAAAACTAAATTCTTCAACTTAAAATACCACACCACACGGAGTGTTGCAGGAAACTGATGCATAAATCTGCATCGATAACAAAAACTACTGTTTTTAGAGTTTAAATAGTCTGTTTCTACTGGAATCTGTAGAAGTATTCTCTACTGGTACTGCTGGTTGTCAGTGCTGTCTCCATTCACAATCATATATTGCTTGAGAGGTTAAAGATAGCTTTAAAGGGTTGTCTTTGTATCTCTCTCACATAGGACTTTGTCAGTCATTTCTCATAATTATCCATCATCAACTGAATAATATGAGGTGTTCCACAAGGTTGTATCCTGGGCCCCATCCTGTTAGCACTGTACTTGCCTTCTCCCAGGCAAATAAGTCATTTTAATGATATTTATATCTGCATATTGTCAGATTCGCACTATTTTTTAAGTCGATGATTTAAAACACTGTACTACTGAATTATCTGAATAAAGCTAAATACTGATAATACACGTGGTTCTTGTTTCTGCCCCTGTTGGCCTCTTCCCAAAGATAATGAAATGCTTTGGTTCTCCTTCTTCTTTTCTTAAGCCTATCTTCTGTAATCTGGGATTCTTCCTTTAGCCACACTTACACTTTGGACCAGCATGTAAAATACTTGGTTTCCCCATGTTTCTACCAGCTGGGGATTACTGCTTAACTGTGGCTCATAACTTTAAATCCTGTTATCCTGCATAAATTAAACAACTTCAAAGATTTACACTGAAATTCTCCCCGTCCATCCATCCCGTACATTAAAGTTTGCAGAAAGCTTTGGGTCTCAAAGGAAGCTCAAACATTAACATGATTATATTATGTGTTAATAAGAAACATGTGAAGGTAAGTTAGGGATTGCCACATAGAGCAATGTGTCACCAGTGACTTTAACTCAGCGTCCAGAATGTCACAGTGACCTGACATTGCTTATACATGACATAGTCGCACAGGAAGCAACAAGTAATTGTTTATGGTATTAGTGCAGGTAAGAAGAGAAAAAATTCCAGTTCACGATCAGAGTAGATGGTGATAAAACAAGAAAAGTTTTTTTTTTAAATAAATAAATAAACCAAACACCTGTAAGTGCAGCAGGACGGGTGGATGAAAAGGTCAAAAGTCATTAGACGACATTCATACTTCTGTAATGTCTATCTTTTAATCTTGCCTTAAAGCCAGGACAAGTGCATGGTGTTCAAGTGAGACGTGCACACAAAGAATGAGAACATTCAGATATAACTGCTACATCTTATTAAAGTGAACAGCCAAGGCACGCAGAAGGAAGAGTGCAGCTGGAATAGACGACAACGACATGGTCGTTTGATTTGCTGCATGCACTATCATGAGGTTCAAGAGCTTCTGGACAAGGTTAGAACCAGATGTAGAAGCTGGGGTCGGGAGTCAACAGTCAGAGGAGTTACCTTTGAGTGACGCCTTAGTCGACAGCTGCAGCTGAAGAACTTCCTGACGGAGAGAGCCTGGACATGATGGAATGAACGGATGGTTGAAATAGATTGTATATTTGGAGCAGTGGACAGGTTCATGAACGGACGGAAAGGTGAATGTAATGCAAGAATGGCCATGATGGAGAAGAAAACATGAAAAATGGGCATTCATTTCTGTATTGCAACCTTTTTTTTGCATTTATTGAAGCATTCATATGTAAAGGAGCTTAAATAATAATTCTTAATGCAGAAGTCTGCAGCTATTAAAAAATGCATCAAGCTTTCCCGGACCGCTCCTCGCGCTTATTAGAGTGTCAAACTGACTTTAGCACTAACGCCAAGCAAATGCAGACTGCACTGCTAAGCTGTAGCACTGATTATACCCACATGGATGTGCACGACAGGGTGCAAAACAACTCACATGTTAAAGTTAGGAAGCAACAGGCTGCCCGCCTGTTAGCGTCTATTCCATATGGTAAAAATACCCCTGCTTAAAACTTCTAGTCTTTCTTCCAAGTGTACTGTTAGATCTGCTCAAACCGTATTCAGACTTCTACTCCCTTATATTCCTGCTTGAGCTCGAGTTAGCATGGCTGCTATTGCTACTTACCCGGCTTACCGGAGCCACGTTTCCCCGTCTTACTCCGCGGCATTTCGAGCAGCTTTGATCCTCCGTTTCACAACAAAGCTAGCTGAGGTTAGCTAGCTCAAGGATTAGAACGACGGGCGTGAAAACAGCAAGAACTGAAGCCTGTTCGTATTTACAAGGGTTAGGGGGTTTGTTGATGTTTTTAAGCCACCTTCTTTCGTGTTATCGCTGGCTAGCCTCCGTTACGATCACCAACCAACACCACGTTCCGTAACTTTTCGCTTTCTTCAGTCTATGAATAAAGAGTTGTCCGTTGGCGGAAAAGTGCCTGTCTTTAGCAGCTGCCCCGGTGTATTATCTATGATTTTCCCCGGGTAATCTATATCTAATACTAGGGTGAGATGGTAAGTATTTTTCAAAGCGTTTGGGACGGAGTTTTGAGCACGCTGTAGTCGCCAAGTCCACCATCTTCCCCTCAGTAGCTACTGATAAAACCGGCAGCCGGGGTTGCCAGGTTTGTTCAGTTAAAGTCCCTCCTTTCCGGTTACGTGTAAAGCCAACGTCACGCGTCGTAAGTGAAGTTCCTTTGTGGACTTGATATGATTAAATAAATTGAGTCATGCATTTGTTTTGAATATAAGTTTGAATTTCTGGGGTTTTCATACCAAACGGCTCGCCTTTAATCGTGTTTTATTGATTCAAAGGTGTGAGCCATGAGTCGAATTTGGGGAAAACACATTTACATCCCTCCAGACTCATGCTTAGAGATGAACATTTTACCAATGTAATCTTGAATTTAAATCTTTTACTGTATCTGATTTGGGTATTATTGACAACAGTATCGAGACCTGACATTTGGAGATGGTGGCACTAACAATAAATACAGGATACGGAGCTTGAGGTGGGGAACCTTTAACTTTGTCTTTAAACCATGGTTTAAAAACAAAGAGAGGCAAGGCTCAGATGGACCTGTGCATAACAGGATTAATGGATATTCTGGACAAAGGATGTTGAAGATGACAGAAGAGGACTGAACAAAATCACCTTTATTAAAGAAAAGACCTCATATCAATAGAAAATGTTTACAAAAACTCCATAATTAGTCCAAGTATTAGTACAAACTCACATACAGCAAATACTCAAGAGAACCTAAGAGTCAGTAGTTTTGCAGACATACATAAGTCATAAGACAGTGTCCCATTTGATAATTAAAATTTCATTAGAAGCAGACAGAAAACAGAAAATAATTACAATTAACATATTTTCAAGTTAGTCTTGTACCACATGTTGCCCAGGTGCAAAGTGCTTTTATCTTATGATTTCTTTATGAATCACCAAACCAAGAGTAAAAAAGTGAAGTAAAAAACTACAACACTTCAGACAGAGACATTTTGCATGGAAGGACAACAAGTCGCCACTGTTTACAAATCAGGCATTTTATAAAACCACAGTCACTGGAAATTTGGTTTATAATATTCAGAAAACCTTAGAAAGGGAAATGTGTTGTGTGCAGTTTCTGTTTTGGTCCAACAGTGACAAACTGAAATGATTTCATGTTTTGTTAGCAATAAAAAGTGAAATGCTAGTGTTTACATCTTTGTTACTCCCACTGGAAAAATAAAAGTGCGGCAAGTATTTCATTAAACAAACAAAAAAAAAACAAAAAAAAAAAACAACTTGGTCTCGGAACAACGTGAACAATGTCTCAGCCCCATCATCCGCAGGGGAACCCATGTTAGTGCACCAATTTCTTAACCAGATGCATGCATAATACTGAATTATTAAATAAGGACTGGCAGTCTGTGCAAAGTCTCTCTATGTAGGGTGACCCGATCCCAAAAAAAGAGACGGTGGGGAACTTTTTAGCTGGACAAAAATTGATTGTGGCAGTTTCCATCACATTTACGAAAATCATCTTTCCCTGATGGGCAGAGCTACATGACTCTACGTGGGACTAACCCTGCTGTCTTCAGACAGTTTGATTAGAAGCCAGACTTTATAGACGTGCACATCCTGCAGAGCCAATCAAAATGTGGGACACACACACACTTTGCAATCCATTATGAAGAGGGTCATCTGGACACCCTGTTTTCTACATGAGCTCCTATAATGTCCATCCTCAAAGCAGCAGCCCTGGTGACTCTGAATATGAACACTGTGAGTACTTTAAACGTAATATATTTGTGCGTTACAGTGACCGATCAATAGTCAGTAGTAATTTTTGGACTAATTTTTCCTCTGTTGGACTCACCAGTGAAGGTTTGTACATTTTAAATAGTGGGCTAAGAATGAAGGGGCAGTGCTGGCAAATACGGGATCGTTTGAAGGAACACTCAGCAGCACCTATACTCTATAAGTGTCTCTCCTAACCAGTATAGTACTTGGTGGGCACAAAGGGCATCTTGCTGACGGTGGCCGGCACTGCCTTTTTCCTGACCTCGACCTGGATGGCTGTTCCATTTTTGGCGAACGCTGCATCCACGTAACCCATGGCAATGTTCTTTTTCAGGCAGGGAGAGGGGCAGCCGCTGGTCACCTCACCTGTACAAAACAAAGGAATTTGTCTTTCCAAAGAAATCCTGTTGTATAGTTTTTTTCAGTCATTTATTTCTATATGACAGGCACTGTCATGTCTGCAATCATGCAGCGTGTGAAGAAACACTTAACAATCATCTCACTGACATTTGATATGATACCACAGAAATACAAACATTGCGATCGTATCTATTTCAAAGCCCTAACATGTAAGATTTGAAAATGTCTGAGTCTGGAGACCCCAATTGGCAACATCATAACAGATACTGGCAAACAACAATACTCTCATAATTGTTGGGGGGGTATGTTTTTATGTCTGTGTTTGCACATTCTGACCTATGACCTTTCCATCAGGGCTGAGAATAGGCGTATGCTGCCGGACTGGGGGGCCGGTGGACACCAGACCCACTCTCTTCCTGGCTGTCTTGGCTTTGATCTGAGGTATGATGATGTCAGCACCGGGGAAATCTTTGGCCTGGCGTCTGCGCTTTCCTGTGTGTGAGACACCAGCAGTTCATTGACAGACTGAATGAAAAGGCAGGCGTGCACAACAACATCTGGGATCCTCTAATTAAAAAAACAAAATAAAATAAATCTTATGTGTAATTCCAAATTATCAGATGGTGGTATCTAATTGGTATGCAATTGTGAAACTATTAGGAAAAGATCCTAAGACATGTGCTGCTTCTCGCCTTCGGAGACCAATCAGAAGAACGTTTACCTTTGAGTGACGTCTTAGTCGACAGCTGCTTATTAAGTGGCAAATAAAAGCAAAATAATTTAAATGTTTTCAAATCACAAGTTTCATGACAGCCTCACACAAAAGCAGCTGTTAGAAAAAAAGAATAAACGACCAAAAAAAAAAATTAAACCCCAACCTATGGTCCAGACAAGCGTGGCCTCCACAGGTGTAGTGGTCTCATCGATGTCATTGCCATAAAGACAAAGCCCCGCCTCCAGTCGTAGGCTGTCCCTAGCTCCCAGCCCGGCCAGCTTCACCTCACTGTTGGTCAGTAGCTTCTCTGTCAGCTCCACCACTCTGGACTCAGGGACGGAGATCTGACACACAGAGACACAGGCAAACTGTAGAGCCACGTCTTTATCCAAGTACCTTTAATGTCAATAAAGTTCAGAGAATTACAAATTTCACCTCAAAATTACATCTACGCATGTAATGATACATAGTGCAATTTATACCAGTTTTGGAGAAGTTTACTACAGATCTGTCAGCCACAGACCCTGGTGTGTGTGTAGGTTGATGTGGGAACTATTTTATATCTGCCAATCAAAAGACGTGCAGCTAGCTAAAAGTAAGCTAGTTTGTGTAATGAAAGCTTCACAGGATGCAAACCTTCAATTACACAATCTCTTTATTGTACTGAGTGATACAGCTGGCTGCTGTAATTAGGCCAACAGAAAACATTTTCTAGATTAAGTGCTCACAATAAGGTTTCTGGATGTTTTGAGTAAGAATTTCTGGAACAAGTCATTGAGGAGTCTTTTTGTCTTGGAAAACGATAGAGCGCCATCTAGTTCTGCTATATCTACAAGAAACCAGGCAGATCCAAAAATTAAACTGAATCTTGTTGTTAACAATCAAAGCAGCAGTCTGCAGAGAGGACGTTTCCTCAAACATGATTTGCATCAAATGAATGCCAGAATAAGTGCAAGTGTATCAAGCCTACTTCAGGATGTTGATTACATATTAAGAAGAAGTTGCTGTCAGGTGCTCCCTTATTCACAAGGGGTCACCACAGCAGGTACCTCTCCATGTTTTATTTGTCAGATTTTTTTATTTATTTTTTCAAACAGGAGAATCAGCTTCCTGACACAAACCCAAAAATTTTCTGTCTCCTCCTGGACAAAAAAACCAGCAAACTTTAACTTGTTCATCAAATGTTTAAGCCGCCTCAATGGACTCAAATTGTGGTCATAAATATTTTGTACTTGTAAATCAGGATTTGTATGTGTAAAAAGAATTTGTGTGTGTAAAAAGATTTGTGTGTCAGAGATAGAAACAACAAGGAGCAGGTGCATCTAGTACAAGTAGAGCTGCTGCAAAAACTCACAGAGCTCAGCAGCCAGCGCAACAAATTCTGGATCCTTGGCCTTTAGTTAGCAGTTAGCATTAGCAGCACATGCTGCCGCCAATGTGAAAGGACCTTGATGCTGCGCACTGTGACTCACAGCAATGGTCCCGAATCAGCACTAACTTTGTGTTAAACTAATCCTAAAGTAATAATGGTATTTCTAACCACTGATATACCACAACTTTATCCTTTCAACAGCTACTGAAAGTTAGGGGACCTAGCTGCTATTGGATATTTATATAGAGATCCTCTAGCTTCAAACTGCATTACCCTTCAGAGACCTGCAGTTCAAAAAAGCGCCCCACCGAAAGCCAAACCCATCTATTCTCTGATTGGATAGTTAAATTTGTGATTGACATGACATTGACCAATCAGATGAAAGGAAGAAAAATAGACAAAAAATTATTTTGCCTAAGTCCACACACAAATCTTTTTTTTTTTTTTTAATGCACACACAAATTATTTTTACACATACAAATCCTGATTTACAAGTACAAAATATTTGTGACCACAATTTGAGCCCATAAGCTTCACTACAGGGTCACTCAACATTAATTACAGATTAATATTTTAACATTTTTAAGAGAAACGGGTAATTAGCTTGATAACTCAAACCGTTACAATAAGTATAGTAAACAGATGTGAGCCTGAGCACCGAGTGAAATGAAGACAAAGAAAATCAAGCTGCCACCATCGCTGTGTAAGATAGATGGAGAGATCCAACCACATCCATCCTGCTTTCTACAGGAGTTCAGAGTGTTCAGACAGTGCAAAAAAACATCACTTCTTTTAGTAGATCATTCATATGGAACAGGTTCTTCTTTTTTGAGCGGGTGCATAACTGATTTGACTTTGGCCTAACATTTGGTTTTGCATTCGTGGTTTCAATAGGTCACATATGCCTCTTTTAGAGATGCACTGTTTTCCATAAATGGCACTGTATCTGAGCGTGTGGGCTTTTGCACAAGTCCCAGTGGTTAGCTCACTAAAGACCAGGCCTAATAAGAGTTACACACTGAGGTTAGAAAGAAATAACACACTGTCCAGGCAATAACGGACATTCGAGGACTTGCACGGGCTTTTGGTTGGCAGAGGGAGTGATGGGGGACCGGGCCTGCAGAGAGGCGTGGGACCCCACAGAACTGCTTGCCAATACAGCCTTTTTTAAAAAACCACTGTCCATTAAACACAAGTTATAATACAAAACTAGTTGTCCCAAAGCATGAAAGAACCTGCAAACACACACATATGTGCTCACCTCCACCCCGTCCTCTCCAGTGTATCCACATCGAGTTAGTCTGCAGTCAGGGACACCGAACACCGTGGCCAGGGCAGAGGTCATGAAAGTTAGCTTACTGAGGTCCTCCTTCAATCCCGCCTGGAGCACCTGAGACATAGTGGGACCTGGAGACATGCAAATAAATTCTTATTTGCAAGATCTGAGACACATTAACTGCAGGAGTTCAAAAAGAAAAGGAAAAAATCCGAAGCAATAGCCAAAATTCATGGATGGACAGAGAAAGAGCGAACGAGGGAAAGCAAAACCAGAGGAAAGTAAAATAAGATGAAAAGGAAGCAGGAAGAGAAGTATAAAGGAAAGGAAGTGATGAAGACTATAGTAAGAGCACCGATGAAAAGAAAAAGAAAGCGGACTGTCGGACAAATATTCTACCTTGTACAGCAATCAGTGCGCAATCAAGAAACTCCAGATCCACATCAAAACCTGCATATTTGAACTCTGCCAGTTTGGCCTGAAAACAAAAACACACCCACACACATCAGATGCTTTTTAACTCTCGGCCTGTTTGCTACATACTTTTCTTGAATTCACCTTCACATGAGCAGAGTCCTTGTCAGCACAGCCGGCATTGGAGACAACGTAGAGGTAGCCCTGGTCCGTCTTCGTCACAATGAGGTCATCAATAATCCCACCTTGCTCATTAGTGAAGAGGGTCAATGTGCCCTTGGAGGTGAGGCAAGAAAAGAAATGAAGGAAACAGAAAAAAGGACACTGGACATCGTGTTTATGTTAAGTTTCTCGTCTTTAAGTCTCTCTTGCACTCACTGGATTAGCCAATACTCAGAATAACTGAAAACCCAACTCAGTGAAGATGCTTTAAGAGAAACTTCAGATTTAGACAAGCTGGGAAGGTCTTTTGGGGCCATTTCTAAACAACTGCAGATTCCAAGATCATCAGTTCAAACAACTGAAGGAAAGACAAACAATCCAGGAACCACAAGGACTCAAGTCTGTATAACTGTATACTGCTGGAACGCCATCATCACTGTCCACAGTGAGGTTTTATGTGGCTGTGAACTAAAAGGGTACCAATTAAGAAAGAAGCACACGCTCCAAAATCAGCATCTTCAAGCTTGAATGGAATTTGCAGCTGTTCACATGGACAAGAAAAAGTTTATATGTCAGATGAGAAAAGCTTTTTTGGCCACAATGACAGGAGTTATGTTTGGAGGAGTAAAGGTGAGGCTTTACTACTAGTGACATTAGTACATTACACAAAATACTTTGAATAATGAAGAATGAGGACTATGTCCAAATTCTTCAACTTCACCTCAAGTCAACAGCTAGATGGTTGAAACTTAGGCTACGTTCACACTGCAGGCGAAAGCGCATCAAATCCGATTTTTTTGACCCTATGCGACCCATATCCGATCATGCTATGACAGTGTGAACGGCGCAAATCCGATATTTTCAAATCCGATCTGGGTCACTTTCGTATGTGGTACTGAATCCGATACATATCAGATGTTTTAGAAAGCGACTGCTGTTTGAACGGTCAGGTCGCATTAAATCCGTCTTTTACGTGACCGACACAAGACAGAAGCCAATTATCAGCGCCGGAGAAGACATCGCGAACGCTTCCTGGCCATCCGGTGTAGATGTCAGTGAAATAGGAGACAACAATATTGTTGGGAAGACAACGTTGGAGAAACGTGAACATTTTATTTGTACTGTATAATCTGCAGATTCTGACAGAAATCTGCAACTATCCTTTGAAGCACCGCTCCTCTTTTAAACAGCAATAAGGATAATTATTAGGTTATTTACATTATTATGTAAATAACAAAATAACTTAAAGCAAAAATTGGGAAACGTAAAGTCCGAAACAAGTCTTTGTATTAAGGGCCATCAGTCAAACAATACTGTTTGCTCTGGGTCTAAACAGAGCACGTTGTGTGTGAAGTCTTCTTTTGCGCATGCGGGCCGCTTTGAGCGTTCACACTAGAGTTTGCTGTCGCATTTTATTTGTAGTGTGAACACGCAGACAAAAAAAAAAATCGGATTTGATCAAAAAAAATCGGAATTGAGCATTAAGACCTGCAGTGTGAACGTAGCCTTGGACACAGTTGGGTGCTCACGCAGATCTTGGAACTAGGGGTGGGTTTTAATTACAGGTTTATTGATTAAAATTGATTCTAGCTTGGATAACGTGATATCGATTCATTAAAATCCTGAATCGATTTTTAAATATAAATGTATTTTGCCCGAAACGCCAAAATCTCAGGTTAAACCTCACAAAATTTCAACAACCACCAAACAGCTTAAACAGTAAATGAGAGCAACAAAAAGCGGGGAGCCGCCGAAACATCAGAATCAGTGAGATGTCGCCTTCCTCACCCGACGGCACGGTCGGGGCTGAAAGCCGACAGCTCACTGACTCTGACGCGTCTGCGGGTCCGCGCTTTGCGTTTACATCCTTTTTGCGCTAGATTCTGAAGCTGCTGTTTTTATCTCTCTCCAAACAATATTGACTGAACCAGCAGCAAAAGAAGATCCAAACTACGCTTCACATAAACATCGTCATGAATTCCCTCTGACTTTGGCTGTTTT